TAACTTTATTGAAATAAGTGTATAAAAAATAGTCAAATAGGAAACAATGGAAATAAGGGGTACTTACCATTTAAACCAATACATCCGGTTGGAAATTCATTTGCTAATAGTAAGAAAAGAGCGGGAAAGTTTGACTTTCGAAAAATGTTACACGCGTATACCTTAAGAACGGAAAAGAGCGGGAAAAGTGGATGACTTCAATCGGAAGACCGAGTTTTCGGGAACTTTCCCATCGGAATGATGCATACCATTTATTTTCCAAGCAGAATTTCCGGTTTTTCCTGGTAAATGGTAAGCACCCAAGATCTACTAATCTCTATAGTATACTAACTATTTAATCAAGGTCTGTGGAAATACCCTCTAACATTTTGAAAATCTGTCTTCTCTCCATAGTCGCTTATTTGTTACTTCAATCGCTTGTTCTCCTGACACATATATCGGATTTAATACTAGTTTATCATAATTACTCTCTGCTCGGTCCACCGATTCATACAGAGGATTCAATGAATTGTTTTCGAGTTCTTTTCTGATCACTTGGTCGGCAGATTCGTACAGAGGATTGTCAAAAATCTTGGCCACTGGACTTGAAGTCTTGAAGTCGATAGTACTGTATGACAAACTCGTATTTTCTTCATTACCTTGAAGTTTTCGTGAACTTCTTGAGATATTTCACGTAAAGTGTTCTGCTGTGATGGAGGGTCAGGTATGAAGGTTGGGTTACTAAACTGGTATTTGTTGCTATCCATCATGTCTTCAAATGGCGGGCTAACATCTTTCGTTTTTTTTGGAATTAATACAATTCTCCCGTAATTCGACCTGGTCTTGCTATGCTTCCTCCACAAACAAGCTACAAGATCGAGGTATCACTAAAACCAACAAAAGCAGAACACAAATCGAAATCAAGGCATATATCGTCGTATCTTTTGTATGGCCATTATTAGAACCCCCCGATGAGTTCTCCGTCGTGAGTTTAGCCTCGCAGTTTTTCCCAGTGAAGTTAGGAACTACAAACACAAAGGAAATCTTTTCCCTTCAGTGGAATACATGTTCCACCATTTTGACATGTGTCCTCTTTACAGTTTCTCCAATCTTGTTCACAGTTTTCGCCTGTCCATGGATATCGACAGGGTTCACAATAATCTCCTCCGCACCCCGGTGCACATCCCGCACAGTCCCCGCTCCAAGGGGGATTACATCTACACCAATACTTGGTTGTGCTGTTCTCGGAGTACGGGATACATGTCCCGTTTCGCGGGCAGATGTGCGGGTTGTCCCGAAAAATTGAATGATTTGTGTCACAGTTGACTCCAGTGAAAGGTTCCTTGCACAGACAAATGAATCCATCCCTCTTTTCTACGCATGCTCCGCCATGAAGACAGCTTTGCTCTGAACAATGACTAACATTAGTCTCACAACGTGAGCCAGTAAATCCCTCTTTACAGAGACAATTGTAACCATTAACATGAGATTCACATCTCAAAGTACCGTTCACAGAACATGGCTTAGTTCGACAATGGTTCACCATGACGTCACAATTCGGGAGCGACCACCCTGTCTTACAGGGGCAGCTGTAATTCTTGTATCCTCCGAATCCATCTTCGCAAGGCCCGATGGTGTTATCCAGATGACATGGGTCAGACTCACAGTAATCGATATCGACGCAAGAATAACCGTCGCCCTTAAAACCGAGTTTACAAGAACATTTCGCTTGTCCTGGTCCAGCCCGTAGACACGTGGCAAACGCGTTGCAGTTATTCCTATCATTGGAACACATATCTACTTCTTGAACCAATACACAATACAATACAATACAATACAATAATGACGCGAGTCGTACTTAGTTCCCCACGATCAATTGCGCGGATATATAGGGAGTAGCGGTTGATAAGCCAGGCATTCAGCTGAAACCCAACATAAAGCTTGCTGTCATGGATACGAAAATGACTGCTGTTAGGGCCACCTATTGATAATAGATGAGAATCATATCTGTCAGGGTCATCTACGATTATGTACCCAATCAGTTGACCAACGGGTGAGTCCTCTTCGAGAGATGCTTCTGTTTTGCTGCCGTTGACAGTGATTCTCGTGGGTGCTTTGTTAATGTCCGTGATATTCACATGGACGTTCTTGGTAAAGGAGAGCGAAGAGACTACTTCACGTACAGTTATTTGAACAGTAATGATTGGTGTTGTGTCGTGGTCTAATGGTGCACGTGAGACAATTACTTGGTCCCTGACCACCCTGAAGGGTACCCCATGGGATGTTATCTCGTACACATACCCAGTGCTCGGCACATCCGCGTCTGTAACAGAAATATTCCCAAGTAGAGTCCCGTCAGTTGAGTTTTCTCCAAGAGATGACGGGGTTAGATGTAAATCTGTTGGGGGTTCAGGAACATCAAGGATTTGGACGCGCAACGAAGAAACAATTGATAGCGGAGGTAGACCGCTGTCTGTACATTTAAGAAACAGAGCAAACACAGCGCGAGCCTCATAGCTTAAAACCTGTCGCACGAGAATGGAGTTCGTTCCGGGAAGGATCATGAATTCTTTTGGTATCTGATTCGTTTTGGCAGCCGATCGCTTGTGACGAGTAGACGGATCATGCGCACTAACAACAGCAAACAACTTTGCTTCCTCCTCACTTATCAACACACACTTATGCGTCTGCAGTTCAGCCCCAACTATTTTCGGGCACCTCGAATGAATTCCGGAAATTAATGCATAGCCGAGAGCTGAAACTTTTTATATAGCGTATCAATGAGGCCCCGTGCACACTATGCCGGATAAATTTGAATCATCAACTTTCATACCGAAACCGAAAAAAAAGTTTTCCGTTCACACATAAGGAAACGGATAAAATGTTTCGCGTCCACACTAGTCCGATAAGAGGCGGCAAAAACGCTTCATTGCACATCTAAGCATGTGCGTCGAAACTGAAATTGAGCCCGCGGTGAATTTTTAGCCTTCCCGCCATGTTCCCATGACAATCATGAAGTCATCGTATTCGAAAAAATTCGGATATGAAATGTTCTCCGTCCACAATAATACGGCTAGCCGGCGTTTTCAAATAGCGCAGCGCAACCGTGACGTCATAAAAACGAAGACAAAGACGAAATTCGGACAAACAAACTTACAAGTTTMCTTTCAGCAGATAATTTTCACAGCCGATCGCAGTTGATCTTAGTTTACATGGGTTATTATTGTAACTTTAAAGAAAAATAATAAAATCGGTTCGTATAATCCTCGTAGCGGTTAAACAGAATGCAATGTTTGTCCGAATCTTTAGGCTATTTTTAGAATCAGTGCGCTGCGCTATTGTTCCACTCTGGAAACCGTATTCGAAAAAATTCGTTTCAGATGAAGAATAGACCCTATCCCGAATTCGCTTGACTGACCACGAAACAATGGTTTGAAGTCGAGACTGAACTTGATTGAATTTGTATGCGTGTATTTGAATTTGTATTCTTGTATTGCACCTCTGGGCCACCCTGCATTCCCCTCTATTTAATAACTATGAATAAACTAGCTATCTAACTTTCACTTCTTTCTGTCTTTCATTAAGAACGAATTTTCGGCCACTATAATAAACTATGGCAATTTCTTTTCGATGAAGAAAAAAGCTTTGACATACATCCAACTACAAGAGAGGTGAACGGCTTTGCATTGAAATTAAATAGGATAACAGTTGAATTTTTGAATATTTACTAGAGGAAAATCATACTAATATATTCTAAAACTTTATTTCTGGAGCTTAATTTTCACAAGCTAATCAAGGTTCTGAAATGAAAAGTTTTTACTTGCACACTTACCATTTTTCAACGAAGAACTCAGTGCTCCATCTTACTCGATGAATGGATGCAAAGCAAACTCAATTACTCTTGATCACATGATTTTTTGCTGTCATTCATCCCAAATTATCCAATCATATGGCACCATCAAGGAATCACTTATGGTACACGTGGAATTCTTTAGTTTGATTGGTGAGAAAATACTGCCGGCTTGCAAATCTCGTGCATGCTTTCATTTGGTTTTGTTGCATGAAAGTTGTGAAAATTCGAGCATATATTACGTATCGCTTAAATTAAAGTACGAATTTACGCTAAATGAGCAAAACTTGTGCTACAATTTAAATCTTATTCAAACTTTCCGGTTTACCATGAATAAATAACTACGGTCACCTTATTGAAGGATAGGAGTTTCTTTAGCAAGTTATTAGTGACTCGAACCAAAAGTTCAGTTCGGGGTCGAGGACAGGGCCCGTCCGGGAATTGAACCCGGGACCTCTCGCACCCTAAGCGAGAATCATACCACTAGACCAACGGGCCTCTCTTGGAGACTATGACTTTCTTTCATATTTTAAATTCTCGTTTTTCCATCTTTAATAGTCTTAATTTCCTTTTTTTCCTTCCGTCTTGCCTTTTCCACGTTTTTTTCCCTTTCTTTTCCTCTTTATATTCTTATAGACAATATTCCTGGTTGAGCATCATTTATAAAATAATTGGGATACTACGCGCGCTATGATTGGTCGAAAGCCATGTTTGATGAGAGTATCAAAACACGCTATCGTCATTTTTAATCTATCGCGCGCGCTCATTAGTCAGTTTGAATAAGACGACATGTAGGGAGAATTTACATAAATTTGCTTTTTTTCGATCTTTTCGCGAGTTTGTTATTTTATAAAACAAATCAAAAACAGTTTTCTGTGTTTGATACTCTGATCAAAACACTTGGGATGTTGGGAGAATACTCGAGAAGCTGGAAACCACTCCGCTACGCGTCGTGGTTTTCTACGCTCCTCTCGTGATCTCCCAACATCCCGCGTGTTTTGATCAGAGTATCAAACACGGAAAACTGTTTTTGATCTGTTAAATTAATAATAACCCTAATAGAAGACTATTAATAAGAACCCTTGTAGTCCAGTCCATAGATACAAGATCGAAAAGCTCTGCCCTCTGTCCAGAAATTACCCTTAGAAAAAGAAAATGATACACACCTATATCCAACAATTATATTCTAAGTTTAATTATTTTCCATATATACAAGTACAACAACATTCATTTGTCTAATGATATTAATTTCATCATCTCGTTACGTTGAGGTGACTCAGAATTGCCTTTGATTTATCTGTTAAGCTTTTGGATGGTACAGCATAGATATTAGGCCCCAAGGTTCTTTTTCTGTTGAGTAGAAATTCTTGCCTGTCTTCTTTTTTTCTTGCTGATGTATGGCCATATTCTTCTTCCTGTATGAAGAAATAAACATCATCATCAATAAGTGAGGTACATTTACATCATGCATTTTCAGTCCTTGTTTCTTGCATGCTAGTTTTCCGTGCCTGTATATTATATTTAACGCCATGTGATGACTGTTGTTTTGTTTGATTGCAGATGCATGCCCCGTAAAACTATGACCGAGAACCAATATTTTGTGGGGGGGCCAGGCCCCCAAAAAAATTTGTGGGGGGGGGGGGGCATCTGCTCCCCCGCCTTCTCCCCCTCCCCCCTGGTTCCACCGCCCCTGGTATGTTACTACTAAGTAGACACTCTTGCCAGGACCACTTGAAAGCAAGACTTGCCATGGATGCCCGGTAAAGTACTTTCTAGTTAATAGCACACAATGGACAGTGTTTGCCTGTCACTTAAGGCTGGTAATAAGATTTATTATGATTTATTTATTTATCTAATTTTTCTTTGTGTTGTGATTTTTTTATGTTCGCATTGTCTTTTTTTTTGTTTGCATTGTGTTTTTTTTTTGTGTTGACCCTTCTGGGCCACAGTAATTGATACCTAGCAATAGATTACTCTCTGGTCGATGGCACCTGATGGGCAGTGTTTGCCTGTTATCGTAGGCAAGTAATAAGATTCATAAAGGTCTTCAGCTAATTGATATTAAGTACAGTAATAGAATACTGTCTGGTTGATAGCACATGACAGAAGGCCGCATCTGTCCTTCACTGAAGGCTGGTAATGAGATTCATGAAATTCATTCAGCTGATTGATACCAAGCAACAAAATACACTCTGGTTGACATCACGTGATGGACAGTGTTAGTCCTTCACTCAAAGCTGGTATAATGAGATTCATGGGATTCGTTTATCTGATTGATACTAAGCAATAGAAGGGTTCATGGCAGCCATGTTATAGGGCAAGAACAACACAATATTCTTGCAAAACAAGAGGGTTTATCTTCCAAAAGAGAACATTTAAAACTTTTTTTTACCTAGAACTTGGCGACATGTGGGGTACTTACCATGGTCAGATATGGAGTGCTCAGTAAGGACTCGACTCTACCTATGATTTCTTCTTTATCCCTTGTGTTTCTTCTTTGCATTGAGGTTATTTTTTTTATAATTCGATTCTTCCTAATAATACAGAATTTTTTACTTCAATCAAACAGCAAAACTACACATGTACATGGAAGTTTATAAATTTATACACAAAAACAAACTACTTTTTTTTTCTCATAGTAATAACGAACCCAGATACCCTAACGTACCCTGCAAATATTCTTCCAGGTGCAGATCTTCGCCCAAGTAAAATCCTTGTAAGCCACATTTTTTTTATCGACTTCCAAATAATGAAATTTTCAAGATGGCGCTCAAGACCGAGTGGTCCTGGGTAGATACCGCGCCTGCGTCTATAGTCATTAGCGGGTTTGCCCATGACATCAGGAATTCAAGATGGCGGCTCATTCGCAAGTCTTGTCGTGTTTGAGGTTGTTACAGCGATCTTGTACGATATGGGGTAGCAGATCGCCAGATTTCATTGGAAATAGAGCAATAATACTGTCAGGTAAACATTTGTTCTTGTCTTCATAAAGTATTAGTGAAGTAGTTTGGTTTCTACATCTACACAATTTATTTGCAAAATCCAAAAGGACATCTAACAAATTCCACTGCAAGTGCAAGATAAATAAAATAAATAAATATGTGCGAATAAGGTAATAATAATTGTGCTAATAATGATTGAATAAATAATAGTTTCATGACACGGTTAACCTTCAGAAAGTTTATCTTGATATTTCAGTGTAGACTTTAACTTTAGTCTTGTATCTATCTTGAGTATAACAACGTAGGCAAGCTTTGATATTTGTGATATCATTATAGGTGCTACCTGTAGGTTCTATCGTGGTAGTAACAGAGACACCAGAAGGAGAGAAAGAAATGAAAGAGCAAGACAACGCAAAAGAGAAGGAATTAAGCCAAAGTAATAAGCTAATATAGAAGAACGTTGAACTCTGGTGTTAATATAAAAATATTAAGTATTACCTGAGCATTTTCCACCCACCCCACTTGCCCCTTTCCCATCATTTTATCATAACACTGCATTACATATTACAAAAATATAAAAGTAAGATTATTTGGAGAGCATGACACTTGACAGCCTCACCCTAGGACTCCATACATTCATTGTGTATACCAGAGGGGGAGGGATGATAAAAGTAAAGTAGTAGTAAAGTAAAGTAAAGTACTATTAAGATTTTGGTCTCCCAACTTCCCCCTGTTATTCTCTGAAAAAAATTAAGGTGCTGACACACGGTGCAACATTGCATGTAACATTGCACGCAACAGGACTGTTGCAGTGTGTGTCTACCTCAAACTTGTTGCACACAAYGTTGCATGCAATAAATCTAAAGTTGAATCCCTCTCTACTCTTGCAACATTGCGCAACAAATTTCATTATGTGAACATGGCTGCAACATTTTGAAATTTCCAGCCAATCAGCTTGCACCAAATTYATAACTGCTGACCAAATATCTTAACATAGCAGCCTGACACAAGCGATGTTGCAGGATTTTGTTGCAATGTGTGTCACCCYGATTCAAATTTGTTGCTTGCAATGCTGCATGCAATGTTGCAATGTGTGTCAGCACCTTTACAGGCTTGCTTCATCTGCTTTAAATTGTGTTTTCAGATCCCCTATTATTGTAAGCAAAAGTTACCCCCTCTTACTGCATTTGATCTGAATGAATTTATGACAAGAGTTTTTAAGAACTCATGGTTTTTAAAACAAGTCGGAACATTAAAAACTTGGTTCCAACTCATTTCTTATGCATTCCTTCAATCTTATTCTCGTAGGGTTTTTGACAAAAGAGAATTTATAAATATCAACTATGACAAAGAGTTGTTTGCATTCAAAAGTAGATTATCTCTTCAGTCTATTGATGATAGTGTACTCAAGCAAGCACTTACACATGAATCCTATCAAGAAGATCCTCAACTTGCTGATCAAAATAACTCCAAGTTATCAATATTAGGTAAGCCATGAATTACATGTATGATCCTTGGACACAGTATGATCACAGCATGGCTCAAAATTTGCACTATACTGTTGAAAGTAAATAGTCATATGATGGTTTCTCTTTATTTAGGTTATAATCTAACTGCCCATCATATCACAGAATTTCTTTGTTTCAAGTATCCATCACTAAATGTGGAAGGAATCAGGTGAATGCTAATAATTTAGGACTTTGAAGTTTATATAAAAATGTGGAGAGAGAGGAATGATTTCTTGAGGTTGATAGCTTAAATTTCTGCATTTGCCTCTGCACTTATACATGTAGTTTACTTTCAAAAAATATTTTTCAAATATTTTCATTAATACTCTAACTTTGTTTGATTTTTTAAGATGTCTTATTGACTTCCTGACAAGCAGAGAATCCATTGTTAAAATAGCTCAGTTGACTGCCTTGCCTGAACTTATTAAAACAGAGGTAATAAAACATATATTAGGAATCTTAAGATTTGAAAACATGCTCAATGAATTGAAACTTTTCCAGACAAATCTTTGCCTTACTTATCATTTTGGCCAGTAATGTTGAGCCAGAAATGGGGTACTGTATGGCCGAGCTAAAACTAATTTGGCATGTGATCATGATTGTTGACTGATGGGCTGTTATTTTAAGCCCTGGTTGTTGCCCTACATCAYCTTCCTTGATAGATTCTTAAGGTCCCTGTAACAATATAGTCTTATATATGTAAACCTGTGTTCTATTTTTAAACATGCCTCTTTTCAAAACTACATTTAGTTTGACCTTGACATGCTGCACCAAGAAAAGCACCTCAACTACGTGAAAGAAGATGTCATTTGTGATGCATTCTATGCTCTGATTGGTGCCATCTACAGTGATAAGGTTCTTGATTCTGTACTTTGATAAGTGAATGTAATCACATTGCTTAGCATAATTATATTTTCATTTATTTACTACAATTAATTATTAGTAATAATAATAATAATAATAATAATAATAAATAGGTGCTTATTAGGTTTAGTTTTGAAACAGTTAAATATAAAATTGACAAAATGCCTAGATCTTTTCCCCTATATCTAGACTTCTTCAAGAGTCATTATGTCAAACATTTGAGCCAGGTGACGATGGTAATAACTAGTTAGTAATAAAATATATGGACTGAATAAAAATGTATTGTAGGAATAAACAACCACACAACAAATCAATCTCTACTGTTTTCTGTTGCAGGGTTCCCATGAAGCTAATAAGTTCATTCAGGACTTTATTATCACTCAGCTTCAGGGACAAGAGTTGTCAAACCTACTCACATTCAAAGACCCAGAGAATCTTTTAAAGGACATCTTACTAGCTGAGGGAAAGCCGAAACCAGAAGCACGGTATGCATTTTAAAGATTTGGCTGAAAAATATAAACAACTGTAACTTACTATAATATGTCTGCTATTAATTAACTACAGTGATGATGGTTTGACAGTAATCCTAATTAGCATGAAAACTGGTCAATGTTTGATCTTTTTTTCTTTAAAGAAATATTTGCTTTGAACATTCCTATTAAAAATCTTTAAACTAAAGCTTCTGCTCTGCTCTGCTC